AGGTATATACCCTATATATATATATATATATATATATATATATATATATATATATATATATATATATATATATATATATATATATATATATATATATATATATATATATATATATATATATATATATATATATATATATATATATAAATATATATATAATATATATATATATATACCATTCATTGTTCAGGTGAGATACCTTTAGAATTAAAATGAGCAAGAGCATACTTTCAAGGATTTGGTTCTTTATTAACTGCTGCAATCCATTTGCAGCCCTTCTTAAATGACAACTCAAGCATTTTAAAATCTTGATGCCTATTATTAGCCAGAAAGCTATTGAAAGACATCTTATCACCCTCATGGTCTCAAGTAGAATTGAGCAACCATTGACAAAACAACTACTTGGCATAATTTTACTGACAAGGATAAAATAATTTATATTTTCAATGAAAAAAAAAACAATATTTTTACACGCGTTTCAGAATAATAAAATAATGAAAATACATAAACCAACTTTCTATAATTAAAAAATCTTATTATTCAAACTTTTATTTTCATCTATAAAACTCAAATCAGAGAAGTTGTATTTTATATAGTACACAATTCTAAAAAAAAGTTGAAATGTATATTATTTTAAATGTGCTAGTCCAGCATATTTTTATTAAAAATCCAGATAACTTAAAATGTTTAGAATCATGTTAGTTTATAGTATTAACAAAAGGTTGTGTTATTAAGTCATTATTGAGATCCATATTAAGTTCCAGTTGTTTACATTCATCATTGAATTCAATGAAATCAGAAAAAACTGCACATGTCCAACACACTTTACTTTCAGTGGTAATATATTCTGTTCTCTTCCTACCTCTCTTTAAGCTAATGCAGATCTTTCAATCAATTTCATCTACTATATATACTTTTATATGCAGCAGTTTTTGATGCAAAGAATGGTTAATTAAAAACAAGCCTTTTAAGTAAGTTTTTAAATTTAAAGTTTAACTTATGAACAGCACTTATGCGATGTTAAAGTTAATTTATCAATAAAAAGTCTGTTTTATGAAAAACATTTTTGACATGACAGCAAAAAGATTCACATAATTTCAACAATTTGAAGTTTATAATAAAATTATAATCATTTGAATCCTCTGCAACTTGTTTATGTTTTTTGCATAAGTGTTGATTGCCTCTATAATGACTCATTCTTCTAAGTTTGTGGTTTCGCTTGTTGCCAATTATTATTATTATTATTATTAAATACTTGTAATATAATAAAGCAATTTAATAAGTAATTTAAGGCATTATTTATATACATGGCATTTTAAAAGATTAATACAGTTTAAAAGTTAAAACGCTTAAACAACCAAAATGTGTTCACTGTGTCTGAGTTATGTATGTTAGCAAATTGACAAAAGTATATTAAAAAAAAAATATATTATGTGTTATAATACTTTAAAGAAGATGTTAAAAATGTAAAACAAAAATAATTAAGTTTATTTTTGAATGTTTTGGAGTACTTTATATACAGTTTACTTATTTGCACATTACTTATAATACACCTTTGAAAATAAGTTATTTAATAGAGTTTTATTTTGAGCAAAAATAAATTACTTATATTGTGAGAGAGAATTAAATTCTACATAAATTTATTCAAAAATAATCTTTAAAAACCTATCTATTACAAAATATTTTATCTAAATAATTGTAATTAAGTACATTATGCTATTAAACGCTCACTTTGTTTACTTTATTTGCCATACAGTGGTATGCACCATACAATACAGTGGCCGTAAATTTTAACGTCATGTAATACAGTAGCTGTAAATTTTAACGTTGATAGAATATTTAAGATTACTTAAGTAAAAAACTATTAAAAAAATTAAGGAAACTAAATGTAATTGTGTTTAAAAAACCACAAAAATAAAATTATTACTAACAATATTTTGTTTTTTTTTAAATAAAATATGTTTATGTTACTTATTTGTCAGTTAATGTAGAAGCACTCCTTGCATGTTCTACCTATTTGTCAGTCAATGAAGCAACACTCCTTGCATGTTCTACCTATTTGTCAGTCGATGAAGCAACACTCCTTGCATGTTCTACCTATTTGTCAGTTGATAAAGAAACACCCCTTGCATGTTCTACCTATTTGTCAGTTGATAAAGTAACACTCCTTGCATGTTCTACCTATTTGTCAGTTGATAAAGCAACACTCCTTGCATGTTCTATCTATTTGTCAGTCGATCTAGCAGCATTCCTTACATGTTTTAAAAAAAAAAAGCATTTATAAATGTTTTTATTAAATATTTTATTTTTATTAAAAAAGTTGAAATTATTCCAATCTATTAAGTTGTGTTTTTGTGGTTTTTTAAAAATCAGAAAAACAGGCTTAATTAAATGAAAAAAAAAAAGTGAGCAATTGCTGATCTATATACACTTTAGTAGGTATATATGCCAGGGGCCTTCAGTACTCTCTTATATCCTGCTGCTGCATCTAAATGTATATTCTCAATCTCATCTCAGTCTCAATCTCTTTTTTGACTGTTTTCAGCGCCATTGCTTTTTTAAGCCATTATGTCACACTATTAGTTTTACCTTTTGTAATACTTGTTCAATACTTCTATTTATTTTTTAAGGTGAAGAAGTCAACTAATCTTAAACAGATTCATAAAAAATTTTTTCTCTGGTTTATATTTTGCCCAGCTGTTTTCAATGTTCTGGTGTTCAGTCTCTCTGATTGTGTATTGTCTTCCTGTGAGAGTTGTTGGAATATTAATTATTAACATTAAGTTGTTGATAGAATCCAACACACATTATTTCTTGAAGGCCAATAATATGATCTTGAAGGGTAACATAGGTGCATGTATCTTACGTAAGTCTTTATTTTCAATGTTAATCTTCTCAACTAGTCCAATTATGGGTTGTTATCATTTACCATACATTACCAAACATACAAATATTCCAAAGCTCAAATTTGCAAACAAGGATTCCTTAATAATTTATTCAGTTTTGAAATTAAAAGAAAATGAATACTCTTGTTGTTCAGAAACAACTTTAGTTTCAATTTTTGTATTATTTATAGGAGTGAAATTGTGATAGGCTTGAAATTGAACTTAGTCTATCCACAGTTCCACCAATACCATCACAAGGTGATTTACCATGACTTGTTGCAAAAAATGACCATTTACATTTCATTGCAAAAATCTTGCTCATTATGGCATATATTTAAAAAGTGTTTAAAGTTTTTATATTGGCTTGACACCCATCTGAAAAATAATGAACAGTTTTTATATCCTTAAAAATATTGCTGTTAGTATGTTCGATTCTTAACTTCACTACATTATATACTATATCAACATCATGCAGTAAATCACTAGAGATGAAACATATTGAATCACATTTGAGTACATTATTTACTACACTTTTTTTTAGTTTAATTAAAGAAGCAGCTTGACTTTTTGCAATTTAAGAATAAACATTGAGTTTTTTTAACTTATCTGTCAGTATTAATGAAGGTTTCAATTGCACAGCTTAGATTAATTTGAGCTTGTAATTGTAACTGAATTAAATAATTAAAACTTCAAATATCAAGCATATATCCCACCACGTCCCTGGTAGTACCGCGCTCAACTTGTTTCTCCGCGCAGTGGCCTCGTTCGTCAAGGTTTGTGTTTCGGAGTTATAGAGTTGAGAGAGGGTTATTACCAAAAATAAGTAGCCTCCTTGTCTGTAATGGCCTTCTCGGCCTTGAGGAGGTGAATTAAAATAAAGTAAAAAAAAATGCTTCAGTGATTAATTTACAAATGTATCTCTCTACTCATAATTACAAAACTTATAGTTTTCAAGGTAGACATCTAATAATTGTGTGCCGATTTTAAAAGTTTTAAGGTCTTTTTGTTTGTGTTTTTCCATTTTTAAGTTTTGTCCACAAATAAATATAATATAAAAAACTTTTATCACATAATGGAATAAATTTTTTAAAAAAATCCATTTCTGTATTTCAGAATAATTTAATACCCAAACTACTTGTCAAACTTGAACAAAGTGAAACTTCATTTTAAAAAATCTCTGGAATGTTCTGGATCTGAAAATAATAAAAAAAGTACATTACCTAGGTTATTAACATCTTTGAATCATTCTCAAATTTATTCACTCAAATTTATGTTTTCAAATTTTAAAAATCTATTACTTCTAACCTTTTACAATTATTTACATTACTATTTTACAATTAATTTACATTTGTGGTGTTTTAAAATTAATTTATTATTTTACAATTAATTTACATTTGTGGTGTTTTAAAATTAATTTATTATTTTACAATTAATTTACATTTGTGGTGTTTTAAAATTAATTTATTATTTTACAATTAATTTACATTTGTGGTGTTTTAAAATTAATTTATTATTTTACAATTAATTTACATTTGTTGTGTTTTAAAATTAATTTATTATTTTACAATTAATTTACATTTGTTGTGATTTAAAATTAATTTATTATTTTACAATTAATTTACATTTGTGGTGTTTTAAAATTAATTTATTATTTTACAATTAATTTACATTTGTGGTGTTTTAAAATTAATTTATTATTTTACAATTAATTTACATTTGTTGTGTTTTAAAATTAATTTATTAATTTACAATTAATTTACATTTGTGGTGTTTTAAAATTAATTTATTATTTTACAATTAATTTACATTTGTTGTGTTTTAAAATTAATTTATTATTTTACAATTAATTTACATTTGTAGTGTTTTAAAATTAATTTATTATTTTACAATTAATTTACATTTGTGGTGTTTTAAAATTAATTTATTATTTTACAATTAATTTACATTTGTTGTGTTTTAAAATTAATTTATTATTTTACAATTAATTTACATTTGTTGTGTTTTAAAATTAATTTATTATTTTACAATTAATTTACATTTGTTGTGTTTTAAAATTAATTTATTATTTTACAATTAATTTACATTTGTGGTGTTTTAAAATTAATTTATTATTAGGGGTCAGAACTTCATACTCTAGATTTAAAGGAAAACTTACAGTTTAATCACCGTCAATTTTATTTATGTTATCATAAAAGTCATGGTGAAATTCAATCTTCTCAAGAAGGTATCAATGAGTTAACTTAAATTTCTTTCTAAATAAAATAATTTACAATAAAGAAACTCTAATTCTTTCATATAAAGTCTTATAAAAATTTGTTGCAGTTTTTGGGAATTTTTCGTTAAAATTTTTTTATTTTTATTCAAAAGTTTTGCTGGAGACTCTCCCTCAGGCTCTTCATGATTCATTTGACTTTAATTTTGATTTCTTATCAAGAGGACATATTTTAAATCGATGGTAAGTTTTTTTGATTTCTTATCAAGAGGACCTATTTTAAATTGATGGTAAGTTTTTTTTAGTTATATTACATATAGTGTATAGTTAGTTGTATAAGTTACGATTATTTTTAAGTAATGTATCATGGTTTATGATTTTCATCTTTTGTGTCATGCTTTTTGTATTATCTCTAAATATAATTTTTTATTATTATAAGTAAGATATTTGGAAACACTTTTTATGTAGAATGTAATCACTTATGTTCTTATGAATTCACAAGTGGTTTATTTTATACTTTTTATGTAGAATGTAATCACTTATGAATTCACAAGTGGTTTGTTTAATAGTTATTATGTAGAATGTAATCACTTATATTTGGTTTATTTAATAGTTATTAGAATTTACAAAGAAGATGTTATTTTTTAAAATCTATGCATAATTTAAAAAAATAAAACATAAATATTTAACACTAAACAATAATTTGAATCTAGGTGTTTATTTTTACTATATGATAATTTTTTATTTTGTATTTTGTATTACAATTTTATATTCAAAATTCAGGTGAAAGTAAAAATATAGTGCAAACGGAATGTAATTTAAAAAAATGTTACTGTCTCATATCTTTGAGTAGCGCTGTTAGAAATAACTTCTTAACAGCTATTATCAAACTAAACTTTAATTGTAAAGTCTTATAGCTTATGTTTATGGTGAAGTCCCAAAACTCGTCTAAATTAACAACAATTTACTCAATTTTTAATCTTCAATTTTAAAAAGTTGTGAGATTTGTTAATAACTGATGTTTTTCTATGATCAGAGACCCGTACTGTAGGGTACCTAAAACAGACCTTACAGTACACCTAAAGTAGATCTTACAGTACACCTAAAGTAGATCTTACAGTACAACTAAAGTAGATCTTACAGTACACCTTAAGCAGATCTTACAGTACACATAAAGTAGATCTTACGGTACACCTAATGTAGATCTTACAGTACACCTTAAGTAGATTTTTTTTTTTTTTTTAACATCTTCACTTCCAACAAGGCTGCAAGCAACCACTATAAGAGTTGGAAGTTACTGGAAGAGAGAAGACTAAATCTGTAGAGCAAGATAACGATTGACTGATGACTTAAAAGATTGCAAATTATATGAATCAGGAAAGCAAGATGAAGGAAGCGAATTCCAAAGAACTGATGTTCGAGGAAAAAAACTAGAAGAATAAGAGTTTTTGAAGCACTTAGGAACAGTCACAGAAAAAGGATGAGACTTAATTGAATTGCGAGTAACACGAGAATGAATTTTAGTAGATGGCACAAGGGACGCTAGCTCTTTAGAGCAGTGCCCATTATAGTATTTGTAGAAAAGAGAAAGAGAAGCAACATTACGACGATGTGACAAAGGTTGGAGATTGGCTGCCAGAGCAGGTCCAACTATGTTTACAATTCGTTTTTGCACCTTGTCTAAAAGAGAAAGGGCATCATTAGAAGATCCGCCCCAGATGTGGCAACAGTATTCCATACAGGGACGGATTTGAGATTTATAGAGATAGAGAATAGAATCTGGAGTAAGAAAGTGTCGAGCTTGATAAAGAGATGCAACCTTAGCAGATGCTAATTTTGCAATGGATTTGATATACGGTTTAAAAGAAAGATCAGAAGTAAGAGTTAATCCTAGAAGATGAATGGTAGATGACTCATCTAGTACATTACCATTCATAAATATAGGAAGATCTAAATTATTACGATAACGATTGGCCGAATAAAGTTGAGTTTTATCTGAATTAAAGTTCACCAGCCACTGTGAGCCCCATGCTGTAGCAGAAGTGAGATCCTTTTCAAGCTCAGATACCCCCTCCAAGCAATCAGAGAGTGTAGGCTTCTTATCATGACAAGAGTAAATGGTAGTGTCGTCAGCGAATAATGCCACCTTAGATGTGAGAATATCTGGAAGATCGTTAATGTAAATTAAAAAGAGTATAGGGCCAAGGATTAAACTTTGAGGAACCCCTGAAGTTACAGGATGTGAAGAAGAGTGTTGTCCATCGAGGACAACTTTTATACTACGATTGGAAAGAAAGGACTCAATAATCTTAAAGATGTTACCAGCTACACCATAAGAAGAAAGCTTATGGAGAAGACCAGCATGCCAAACTTTATCAAAAGCTTTAGAAATGTCAAGTGCGATAGCCTTAACCTCTCCACCTCTATCTAATGCACAGTAAAACCTATCGGTTATTACTGTTAGCACATCAGCTGTAGAACGAGAAGACCGAAATCCATATTGATGATCAGAAAGTAAGTTATTTGATTCAAGATGAGAGATTAAGTGTTTGTTGATTAAAGATTCAAAAACCTTGCTTATGACAGGAAGAAGACTAATGGGACGGTAGTTAGATGAATCAGATCGCTCTCCGGAATTTTTGAAAATAGGGATAACAGATGCTGCTTTCCAGCATGATGGAAAACAAGACTCTGATAAGCACTTGTTAAATAGTTTAGAAAGTATGGATGAAAGCTCCGGAGAACACCTCTGCAAGACTACAACAGGAATGTTGTCAGGACCACAAGCTGTTGAAGAGTCTAAGCAAGAAATTACTTTAGATACAGAAGCTGAAGTGATGCGAATGTCAAGCAAGGGATCAACCTGTTTGACGGCTATGTCAGGTAAAACGCAACTAGTGGAATCAAGAGATGATATTGATGAAAAGTTCTTAGCAAACAATTCAGCTTTGTCTTTAGGTGAGGTGACAAAGTCTGAACCATACAAAAGAGAAGGAATAACAGATTTGCCCTTATTATTGATACTGTTAAAGATTCTCCAGAAGTCTCGAGAGCCTAATTTTTGTGATGAGATACGAGATTTAATGACCTGGGAATAGCGAGCTTTGGCGTCAGACAAAACCTTTTTACAATGGTTTCTGGCGATAGTGAACAGATGTCTGTTTTCTGGAGAATTGTTTTGCTGATAGATATGGAAGTAACGGTTTCGATTAGAAATTGCTGCAGCGCAATGTGAGGAAAACCAAGGAGAAGAGTGAGGCTTGACCTGGAATCGTCGAGAGGGAATAAAAGATTCCATGCCAGCCTGAATCCACGAAGTTATGTAAAAAGCACATTTGTCAGCAGGAAGACGAAAGATTTCTACCCTCTTACAGATCTTATAGTACACCTAAAGTAGATCTTACAGTGGTTTGTGTGTTGTTGAAGTGTTTAAAATTCTTCTTAATTAATAATAATTTTCTTCTAAGCATTGTTTCAGGATATTCCACTTATCTATTGTATTAAAATAATTTTCTTCTAAGCATTGTTTCAGGAGTTTCCACTTATCTATTGTATTAAAATAATTTTCTTCTAAGCATTGTTTCAGGAGATTCCGCTTATCTATTGTATATAGGTGGGGACCTTAAATTTACCTTCTAAAATGTTTTATTAAGAAAAGAACTTTTTTTTGTATTAATATTTATTATAATTTTTAGTTTCATTTTTTCATTACAGTTTTGGAATTAAAGAGTTTATTGTACTTCTACCAGCATCTAATGAAGCACAAATTGAAGGGGAATCTGAAATGAAACTTTTATGGAGTTCCCTTGGTATTGCTCTGTCTAACCTTAACTGGTATGTTTTTTAATTATTAAATTTTTGCATACACTATTTTTTTTATAAGTTAACAAATATATTTTACATAATAAATTTTTTAAATTTGGAACTTTAAGTGGTGTTGAGGGTTTTTTTCTTAGGTTTAATAGTTTAATTCAGAAACATTGTTTTAAATTTACCTTGTTAGATCTCAGCTTTTTTTTTAAAGATTTTTTATAGCATAAATTTTTCAGTTTATTTTTATCAAATTTTAAAAATGAAAATAAGTTAATCAATATCAAAAACTTGTTGCACTTTATTTAATGTGGTGAAAATTAAATGAATGATGAATGATGACTTTATTTAATGTGGTAAAAATTAAAAAATGATGAACGATGACTTTATTTAATGTGGTGAAAATTGAAAAATGATGAATGATGAATCTGGAAAATATTCATTTTTTTCTAGTTGTTAGAAGTTGTTTCTAGTATTTCATTTTATCTAATATTTTATAAAGAATGCATGCAGTATTTACTGAAAAAGATTTTTAATTTTCATAAATGCAAAAATCTAGAGTTAATTAAAGAAATCTACAAAAATTTATTGTCTTTTGGTAGTTTAAAATTTTTTGTTCAGTTTTAATTTTTTTTTTCGGAAGGTTTTAAATGAAATAAAGAAATGAATTATAAAGTCTTTGAGGCAAAAAAATTACTTACAGAAAAAATTCTGAACTTTACAATGTTTCTAAATCAGAAATAAAAGTTTCTTCAGTGCAAAACTATCAAAAGCAAGCCTCCCTCTGGAAGACCTAAAGTTACAACTAAAAAGCCTGATTGATTTTTAGTTAGTTAGGTCATCCAGTTAAGAAGCCGCTGATATTTAAAATTTAAAAACCAAAATAAAATTTGTAAAACATCATATTAAGAACATTAAGAATTTAAACTAAATTAAAATTAGAAAAAAATTATTAAAAATTTAAATTTTTTAAAGCCATTATATCAATTACATATGAGATAAAATTATGTGTTCTTAAACAATTTTGATCTGCTGACTCCAAATTTAAAATCCAAATATTCCTAAATTGACAGATTAAAAAAACATAAAGGTTCAAAATAATAATATTAATAACAGCATTAAGTGCCGTTTAATCATTAGCTCAATGTAACATGTGCATTAAAAACCCAAGAAAGCATGAAATACCAAAAAAATAAATGATCATATTAAAAAGATAAAATTTGCAATAAAAATTCTTATATAAATATAATTCTTATATAATAAAAAATTATCTTATATAATATTAATATACTATATAATATATATATATAATATATATATAATATAATATATATAATGTATATATAATATTACTAGTCAAAAATGTAAAAATTCGCTGTCATGATTTTCTTCAGAGGGCTATAACCGAGCTTGAATATCTTATATAATATATAATATAATATTATAAATTATCTTATATAATAAAAAGATCGTCTTAGTTGGACTGTTAATGACTGGTCAAAAGTCCTTTAAGTAGTATACACTTCGTTCAATAATGAGTACACTACAGTGCGTTTTTTAATTTTACTAAACTTAATAAAAAGAAGCCACCACGCAATTTAATATTTCGAACTGCAACTGCATTGTTTTTTTAAATGTTGTTGTTGCATTTTGAAGCATGTTTCTTATCAATTTTAAATGAGTTTTAAAATTACATTTTCTTTTAGTTCCAAATGCTAATGCATAATTTTTTAAACCTTAAAGTCTCATTTTCAATCACGTGAATGGGCAGTTGAATCTTTAATAACACTGAATCTCTTTTGTTTTTCATTAGTAAAGTAAATTCTTGTTTTTAACTTTGTTAAACAAAATGAACAAAATAAAAAGCATTGTTAAGATGTAAAAAATATTTTAAAAAATTATTATTAGAATGCAATTAAAGTTGCAAGTGAAAATTAAAAAAAAAAAGTTAAAGTTGCAAGTATAATGAAAGATGTTTAAAACATTAAAAACATAATGTTTTAAACATTCAACTAAGTTAAAAATTTAACTGAAGATTGAGAGAGAATAATAAAATATTTTTCTTTTTATAAAATGTTTCTTTGGGGTTTAGGCTTCTAACCTTTTTTGCTTAACGTAATGAAACCTTTGTTTAAGATTGACAAAAAGAAACAAAGCAGATATTGACTACAACAAAAATCTTTAAAAGTTGTATTTATTGTTATCTCTTTACCAATATCTCTTTGTAACTTAAGTTACCTAACAATATTTTTTAACAGGTTATAATGTTTCACTTTTCACCCGAGAAAAAATACCAAAAAAAAATCTGTTACACCAGACTACTGATTATCATAGCAAACAACTCAAATGAGAAATAAAAACTATTTCAGTCACCCGAATGATGAGACTGTCAAATTGATGTTGTTTTAAAGGAAATTGAATATGCCACCAAACACTGTCTTATTAAAACTATTTTATTAAAAAAACTATTTTTTAGGTTTTATTTAACATTTGTTTTTTTTTTAAATAAATATCAAAATTGAGTTGTTTCTAAACTTTTGTATGGAAGTCTGTTCAAAAAAAAAAATTAAATTTTAATTAACAGTTAAATTTTACAATTTTTGTGGTTTGTTTGAATTGAAGTATTACAAAGTACATTTGGTAAAAATTTCTGAGTGAAAAGAAAAAATTTGGGTGAAAATTTTAGTTTGAGAAAGTTTGTGAATAAATTAGGGTTGTTTGCCAAAAAACAAAACTTGTGAAAATTTTGCATCTTTATCTACCGTAACTTGTTATTGCGGAAGTTGCACATGCGAAAATGCACATTTTGTAATGCGCTATACAAAAATATAAATAAATAACATTCTGTAATAAAGCATTATGAAAGAAAACTTGCTAAACAAATCCTTTGGTAAATATACTTACAAAATAGTTCCAAACGGAAGGAGCATTCCGCAATGTGCAGTTACGAAAAAGACACAAAAGATTTTATGTTAAGATATATTTAAGACATCAACTGTTAACAGTTTAAATAATTAAATAATAAATAATAAAATTATATTTTTTGATTTGCATAACAAATCAAAAAATATAATTTTATTATTTAATTATAAATAAAATGTTGTTCAATGATTCTTTAAGTATTTATACAAATATATCTAGTATGTACATATATATATATATATATATATATATATATATATATATATATATATATATATATATATATATATATATATATATATATATATATATATATATATATATGTATGTACAGACAGTAAAATCCATATATATATATATACATATATATATATATATATATGTATGTACAGACAGTAAAATTTCGTATGTTGCAAGATAGTTTTATTTTGTCAACTTGCAAAAGGCTAACTTTCAAAAGTAGCATTTGCGAAATGAACATCGACAATTTTAAATGTTTTGTAATATTCGATATGAAAAAAAATGTAATTCCTCGTTCTCAATCTCCTTACAAAAGAATGTTGTTTTTCCGGAATTATACGATATCCTCTGGTTAACAACCCTAGAATAAATCAATTTCTTTCTTTTCTCGACATTTGTATAAATAAATTAAAATATTTTTGTTTTTTTTTTTCATTATTTCTTAAAATAATGGTTTTTTATTTTTAAAAAGTTGTTAAAAAACAAAAAATATTACTTGTTACAAAGAAAAAAACTCAAGTTAATTATTTTACCAGCACTTTTTTTTGTGATACAAAGATTTAAGTTTTCAAGTATCATTTATTAAAAAATACCGATGTGCTTTTCCTTGCCTTAGGACAAAAAAGTTAAATGTATGCTTTATAAATATTTTTGATGCAGTGTTATAATTATAAAAAAGTTATAACATGTTTACAAGGAATTTAATTTTTTGTAAAAAATAGAAAAGGAGGAAGAAATACAGAGAAGAAAAAAAAACTAATTTTTTTAAGTTAAATAACTTTTTTAATCAAAATTCTTTGTTAATTATAAGGAAATTTCTGTTTTTACTTTTTTAATATCTCCTTATCTGTTTTTAATATAAAGCTGATGTAACTATTATATAATTTTTTTTTTCTAAACTATTATTTTTTCCAAAATAAAACTTATAAATATAAATGAAGACATTGTAAGAGCTATATTGCTTCAAGCATAAATTCAAGCTATATCCATAAAATTATATTCATAAAAGAATTTTTTTTTTTTTTTATTATAAAAAAATTAACTCTTTATGAGATGTCGTTTATAGTTTGTAATAATTAATGTTTTTTAATTTTTTTGATAATATAAAAAAACATTTTCTTATTAAACCATTATAACAAAACAAACATAAAAAATTTAAAATATCAAAAGTGGCACTAAAATAAAATAAAATTTAATGTGTACTATTTTTTAATTAATAATTTTTTTTTAAATTGGTTAATTATTTGTTGTTATTGTTTAATATGAGAAATTTTTTAATTAATAATTTTTTTTTTAATTGGTTAATTATTTGTTGTTATTGTTTGGTATGAGAAATTGCCTAAATATTCTTGCTCTTACAAGATGAAAAATAAAAAAAATTTTATTATGTTTCTTTAAATTTTTGATGGAAAAGTTATGTTGGTAAAATAAAATTTTTTTAGTTTTTTTTTAAGTTATTACATTTGTAAATAGCACAAATATCAAATGTAATTGACATGCAAACTTTATGTAATCGTCATTCAAACTTCATAAGTGGTTTTTACAATGTTAATTACTTTTATCTTGCCATTAGTAAAAATATTTAAAATGATAAAAATGACTTATCCAAAATTGCTTACTGCTTACATAAAGTGGCTTACAGCATACGTAAATGGCTTGCCAGTTTACGCTTTAAAACAAGGACTGATACAGCCTGCAAAGATTTGAAAGATTTTAGGTTGGCACAAGAGTGTTGTACTTAGCCAATGTCGACAAAAAATTTATTTGAATTTTTTGCTTTCTGTAACGAAAGGGATAATGATTATTTGATTATAAAAGCATTGCTTTATAAGAGTATAAAGACAATATTAAAAAATGAAGCAATGAAACTTTAAGTAAGTGCATTAATTAACAATCCCACCTTTGGTCATGGATTAGTATTATTAGTACCAAGATGATTTTTTTCTAAAATTAAATTGTTTATTTGTCTATTATTTTTACATATGTTGTGTATAGATAAAAAAAAAAAAAAATGTTATGCTATTGATTTTGTTATATATAAAATGATTTATGTTAAATTTTTGTCTTTTATATTTAGTATATTTTTTTAGTCAAACTCCGATATTTATCCAAGTTGGTCCTCGAAATCGATCATTATTTTATGGTTTATGTATTGGTGAAGGATTTCGTTCTTCATATGAGACCATACATTTAAAATACACTCCACATGAATGTAATCATATTCAAGGAATGATAGAGACATTTCGCTCAAAATTGGTTTGTTTGATTACGTTAATATTATTATATTTGTATATAAATGTTTGGAATATTCAGTGCAAAATTAATTCTCATCTGATAAAATGAAATAGAAAATGAAATAAAGCAAATTTCATGACTTTGATGAATTTAATACTACACTAATTAATTCATTCATCTGACAAAAGAATGAATACTTATTTGTGTGATTCACCACTCGGATGAGATCACACATCAACTATCAATATACTAGTACCCTGCTATATTTATTTATATGCTTAGTTTATTGGATTGATAATGAAAAATTCATTGCCAATGCAAACTCAGCTCTCAGATAACTCTCTAGAATGATTAAGTACTAGAGTTCTATGCAAGCAATTGCCTAATACAGTACACTGATTTATCTTTTTAATTCATTACACTGATTTATCATTTTAATTAATTACGCTGGTTAATCATTTTAATTCGTTACACTGATTTATCATTTTAATTCCTTACACTGATTTATCATTTTAATTAATTACGCTTATTTATCATTTTAATTCATTACGCTGATTCATCTTTTTAATTCATTATGCTAATTCATCATTTTAATTCATTATGCTGATTTATCATTTTAATTTATTACGCTGATTCATCATTTTAATTCATTACGTTGATTTATCATTTTAATTTATTACGCTTATTCATCATTTTAATTCATTACCCTGATTCATCATTTTAATTCATTACGTTAATTCATCGTTTTACTGCTACTTTTTACAGCTTTTACAGACAAATCCACAACACAGACTTATAGACATGGACAACACCAACATCTTTGCTTCATCACCAACATCTTTGCTTCATCACCAACATCTTTGCTTCATCACCAACATCTTTGCTTCATCACCAACATCTTTGCTTCATCACCAACATCTTTGCTTCATCACCAACATCTTTGCTTCATCACCAACATCTTTGCTTCATCACCAACATCTTTGCTTCATCACCAACATCTTTGCTTCATCACCAACATCTTTGCTTCATCACCAACATCTTTGCTTCATCACCAACATCTTTGCTTCATCACCAACATCTTTGCTTCATCACCAACATCTTTGCTTCATCACCAACATCTTTGCTTCATCACCAACATCTTTGCTTCATCACCAACATCTTTGCTTCATCACCAACATCTTTGCTTCATCACCAACATCTTTGCTTCATCACCAACATCTTTGCTTCATCACCAACATCTTTGCTTCATCACCAACATCTTTGCTTCATCACCAACATCTTTGCTTCATCACCAACATCTTTGCTTCATCACCAACATCTTTGCTTCATCACCAACATCTTTGCTTCATCACCAACATCTTTGCTTCATCACCAACATCTTTGCTTCATCACCAACATCTTTGCTTCATCACCAACATCTTTGCTTCATCACCAACATCTTTGCTTCATCACCAACATCTTTGCTTCATCACCAACATCTTTGCTTCATCACCAACATCTTTGCTTCATCACCAACATCTTTGCTTCATCACCAACATCTTTGCTTCATCACCAACATCTTTGCTTCATCACCAACATCTTTGCTTCATCACCAACATCTTTGCTTCATCACCAACATCTTTGCTTCATCACCAACATCTTTGCTTCATCACCAACATCTTTGCTTCATCACCAACATCTTTGCTTCATCACCAACATCTTTGCTTCATCACCAACATCTTTGCTTCATCACCAACATCTTTGCTTCATCACCAACATCTTTGCTTCATCACCAACATCTTTGCTTCATCACCAACATCTTTGCTTCATCACCAACATCTTTGCTTCATCACCAACATCTTTGCTTCATCACCAACATCTTTGCTTCATCACCAACATCTTTGCTTCATCACCAACATCTTTGCTTCATCACCAACATCTTTGCTTCATCACCAACATCTTTGCTTCATCACCAACATCTTTGCTTCATCACCAACATCTTTGCTTCATCACCAACATCTTTGCTTCATCACCAACATCTTTGCTTCATCACCAACATCTTTGCTTCATCACCAACATCTTTGCTTCATCACCAACATCTTTGCTTCATCACCAACATCTTTGCTTCATCACCAACATCTTTGCTTCATCACCAACATCTTTGCTTCATCACCAACATCTTTGCTTCATCACCAACATCTTTGCTTCATCACCAACATCTTTGCTTCATCACCAACATCTTTGCTTCATCACCAACATCTTTGCTTCATCACCAACATCTTTGCTTCATCACCAACATCTTTGCTTCATCACCAACATCTTTGCTTCATCACCAACATCTTTGCTTCATCACCAACATCTTTGCTTCATCACCAACATCTTTGCTTCATCACCAACATCTTTGCTTCATCACCAACATCTTTGCTTCATCACCAACATCTTTGCTTCATCACCAACATCTTTGCTTCATCACCAACATCTTTGCTTCATCACCAACATCTTTGCTTCATCACCAACATCTTTGCTTCATCACCAACATCTTTGCTTCATCACCAACATCTTTGCTTCATCACCAACATCTTTGCTTCATCACCAACATCTTTGCTTCATCACCAACATCTTTGCTTCATCACCAACATCTTTGCTTCATCACCAACATCTTTGCTTCATCACCAACATCTTTGCTTCATCACCAACATCTTTGCTTCATCACCAACATCTTTGCTTCATCACCAACATCTTTGCTTCATCACCAACATCTTTGCTTCATCACCAACATCTTTGCTTCATCACCAACATCTTTGCTTCATCACCAACATCTTTGCTTCATCACCAACATCTTTGCTTCATCACCAACATCTTTGCTTCATCACCAACATCTTTGCTTCATCACCAACATCTTTGCTTCATCACCAACATCTTTGCTTCATCACCAACATCTTTGCTTCATCACCAACATCTTTGCTTCATCACCAACATCTTTGCTTCATCACCAACATCTTTGCTTCATCACCAACATCTTTGCTTCATCACCAACATCTTTGCTTCATCACCAACATCTTTGCTTCATCACCAACATCTTTGCTTCATCACCAACATCTTTGCTTCATCACCAACATCTTTGCTTCATCACCAACATCTTTGCTTCATCACCAACATCTTTGCTTCATCACCAACATCTTTGCTTCATCACCAACATCTTTGCTTCATCACCAACATCTTTGCTTCATCACCAACATCTTTGCTTCATCACCAACATCTTTGCTTCATCACCAACATCTTTGCTTCATCACCAACATCTTTGCTTCATCACCAACATCTTTGCTTCATCACCAACATCTTTGCTTCATCACCAACATCTTTGCTTCATCACCAACATCTTTGCTTCATCACCAACATCTTTGCTTCATCACCAACATCTTTGCTTCATCACCAACATCTTTGCTTCATCACCAACATCTTTGCTTCATCACCAACATCTTTGCTTCATCACCAACATCTTTGCTTCATCACCAACATCTTTGCTTCATCACCAACATCTTTGCTTTACTCTGATAAAGTAGTTTGATTTTTTTTTTGGTTATAAATAAATTTTCAACATTATGTCAAAATTTATTCAAATTTTTCCAGAGTTGTCCAATTCAATCCAATGTGATCATTTCTGTTCGATTTTCATATATCATTAATGATTGGCCAGAAGAGATGTGGTGTCAAGAGCTTCCAAACATTGAAAATGAGTTTGAAATGCAAGTTGGAATTAACTCCTTTGAGGAACTTCCATTTGGACCTCTTCAAGAACCTGTTATGTAATTTTTATTTATTTTTTTATTTGTATTTTGATAACTTAAGCTAGTATTTATTTTTAGAAAAATTAGCTGTTGTTGATAAATTTGTTAATAATTTGTAAGATTATGTTTGTTTGATAGTAACAATTTGTAAGATTATGTTTGTTTGATAGTAACAATTTGTAAGATTATGTTTGTTTGATAGTAACAATTTGTCAGATTATGTTTGTTTGATAGTAACAATTTGTAAGATTATGTTTGTTTGATAGTAACAATTTGTAAGATTATGTTTGTTTGATAGTAATAATTTGTAATAAGAATAGTTAAAAGCGTAATTAAAAAAAAAGTTTGTTTTTTATTATCTATAGTTTTCAAGTTTGTTATAATATAAAATTGTTTGATAAATGGTAGATCAAGATTATTTTTGTTGTGGTATTACCACTAGGTTAAATTTTTCATAAAAAATGTCCTGATTAACTAAAACAGTTTTTGAATGTATAAAGTAAATTTAAATGTTTAACAATTGAAATTCATCATTGTAGAAAGGTCATTTGATAATTTTTTTTTTTTTTTATAAGTTACTGTGTTATATTTATATAGTTTATATTGTTTATACAGTCTTCATGAAAGTTTAAAAGTTGAATTATTTTTATTAAACTAATTTTTTTATTCTTAAAATTTTTTAGAGATTTAATGCTTGCAGTAACATGGCCTCAATTATCATCTGATATGATAAATGACGATGCTCACTTCAGGTAAGTAAAGTCAGATAATAATTCAATTCATAAATTTTATTAATTTTTACTAGGAATAAACAACCCACTGATAAAATAAACTTTTCAGTAATTTCTAATGTTTGAATTATAGTTTTTTTATTTTTTATCTTTTATCTTTTATCTTTATTAAATATTTAAGTTTTAATTTTATTTAATAGCTTAATTAAAGATTAGTTTGCAGGCTTAAAGAAAATTGCACAGTGTGATATTTTGCACCCATAAAACTGAAATACATTATCAACTAGCATGATTATGTGTGCTTGTTATTATATCATTGTCAACTAGCATGATTATGTGTGCTTGTTATTATATCATTGTCAACTAGCATGATTATGCGTGCTTGTTATTATATCATTGTCAACTAGCATGATTATGTGTGCTTGTTATTATATCATTGTCAACTAGCATGATTATGCGTGCTTGTTATTATATCATTGTCAACTAGCATGATTATGTGTGCTTGTTATTATATCATTGTCAACTAGCATGATTATGCGTGCTTGTTATTATATCATTGTCAACTAGCATGATTATGTGTGCTTGTTATTATATCATTGTCAACTAGCATGATTATGCGTGCTTGTTATTATATCATTGTCAACTAGCATGATTATGCGTGCTTGTTATTATATCATTGTCAACTAGCATGATTATGCGTGCTTGTTATTATATCATTGTCAACTAGCATGATTATGCGTGCTTGTTATTATATCATTGTCAACTAGCATGATTATGCGTGCTTGTTATTATATCATTGTCAACTAGCATGATTATGCGTGCTTGTTATTATATCATTGTCAACTAGCATGATTATGTGTGCTTGTTATTATATCATTGTCAACTAGCATGATTATGCGTGCTTGTTATTATATCATTGTCAACTAGCATGATTATGTGTGCTTGTTATTATATCATTGTCAACTAGCATGATTATGCGTGCTTGTTATTATATCATTGTCAACTAGCATGATTATGCGTGCTTGTTATTATATCATTGTCAACTAGCATGATTATGCGTGCTTGTTATTATATCATTGTCAACTAGCATGATTATGCGTGCTTGTTATTATATCATTGTCAACTAGCATGATTATGCGTGCTTGTTATTATATCATTGTCAACTAGCATGATTATGCGTGCTTGTTATTATATCATTGTCAACTAGCATGATTATGTGTGCTTGTTATTATATCATTGTCAACTAGCATGATTATGCGTGCTTGTCATTAAATCATTGAAAGTAATTGTGAGCATTTGTAAAAAGTATTTGTTTGTTATACAACGTTCTTTTGTTGATAAAAAAATTTGAAACTGTAATCTACTAAACAATACATTTGAACAAAAAAGTTTTTTAATTTGCCCAGAGTGGTGGGAGAAATATTGCGCTGGGAGAAATACTGTGCTTAGCTATATAAAGAATTTATTTTGTAGTAAAACATGTTTTAAATTTCAATTAAAATTTTTATTATACAAAAATTTTTATATATTTTATAGGCAACATTTTGTTAAATAATTTTGAACTAGCAACTTAATAACATTATACTTAATTAAAGAACAATTAAAAGTTGCAGTATTTCTTGATTTGTTACATAAAGTATTCTTGACAAGTTTTATCTTCGATAGAAGCATTTTATCTTTGATAGAAGCATTTTATCTTCGATAGAAGCATTTTATCTTTGATAGAAGCATTTTATCTTCGATAGAAGCATTTTATCTTCGCATTTTATCAAAAATATTTTATGCAAAAATAAGTAATAGTTTTCTCTCAAATTCTTGATATGAGAGCAATTTTACATTCTCCTTACTAGGTTAGCAAGCATTGTTTATTGTGTCAGGAAGTCTTAAATATTCCAACTTTCATGTGCAAGGAGCAATTAACCCTGCTTTATAAAAAGACCTAAGTTTTTGTATCAATCTGTTGTAGCATATAAAAATATTTGATTTTTTGACTTAGTTTTATTTTACAGCGACCTAGATCCTATGCAAGCTCCTCATTGGTCATTAAAAGCAAGATTTATGGATTTTTGTCCGACTTTGTTATTTGAGCAAGTAAAAGCTCTGTTACATCTGTGCCACCATTCTTCAGGATATAATACTGCTCAAATATTGAGAACTTCTCATCGTAATGATCAAAATAATGGTATTTTTATATTTTTTTTGCATTCAGTAATCAAAAAATTAGTGAGATATGCTTATGTTTAGTGAAAATTGAGACTTATATTTATGCTCAGTAAAATTAATGAGGTAAATTTATGTTAAGTAAAGTTAGTAAGATGATATTTATTTATGCTCAGTAAAATTAGCGTATGATTGTTTCAATTTTTTTTAAAAATAATTTTATAAAACTTATAAAATTATTCAAATATTATTCTTCTTATTTAGAGTTAACCTCTGAAGTGAGTCATGTTTTGGATCGTCTAACTAAACCTGCTCCTTCTTTATCTCCATTATCAATGGCTGTATCTCGAGCTGCAATGAAGGCTATAAACACTAATGTTATAGATTCACCATTGCCAGAAGAGCTTTTAAATAAGGCATTAAATGTAAAACATTTAACTTATTAAATTTATTTAAGTATACCTAAAATTTTGTAATGCAATTTTCTGATTTTTTTATAATAAGTTTTCCATGGAAACCATGTTTCCATGGAAAATACAATATTTCATTGGAAAATACAATATTTCATCTTTATTTAATGGAAACTTACTATCTCAATGTTATATTCACTTATGTATTTCTGTATGAAAATACACTATGGAACTATATGGGAATGCTGTTTGGAACTGTATAGAAATTCAGTATGGAACTGTAGGGAAATACAGTATAGAACTGTAGGGAAATACAGTATGGAAATACTGTATAGAAATGTAGGGAAATACTGTATGGAAATGTAGAGACATTCAATTTGGAACTTTAGGGAATTACACTAATTCTTCATTCTCTAAACTTCATCTTGATTTAAAAATTATATTATATTAATTTCTTCTAAAAGTGCTCAACTTTATTTTTAAAAAAGAATACTCAGCATAAATATTTTTTTAAAGAATAGTTATAATAATTTACTTTAAGCTTTTGTTTCCTGATGCACACTTAATGAAAGAAGAAGCATGCAAGTTACAGGCAAGTTTAAGTGAACAACAAAGAAGTTTGGAATCTGATACACAGCGTTTAAAGGTGGTAATTTTTTAAAAACAAAATCTTTTTTGATGCTTTTCTGAATAATTTTTTTTTTTATATAGCTTTTAATTTTTAGGACAGATATCGCCATTTAAAAGGTGCACCAACTGATAGTTTAACTCTGACACTGGCTTGCTGTATCATGATATTAAACCATAGTTATGGTGGTAAATTTTGATTTATTTATATCTTTAGTTAATTTTAGATTGCTTTTTTTTTTTAAGAAAAAGTTTTAATTCTATGTATTTTAGGAATGCAAGCTATAGCTCATTTATGGCATGAATTTGTGAGAGAGTTGCGATTCAGATATGAGAATAAAATTCTTGTTCCAAAGTAAGTTTATTTATATTATTAGAGCTGTGTTAGTTCATAGTCGTCAATTTTATATTCAATTAATTCATTGATGCATTAATTTAATGTTAACTAAGGAGCTTTTACTTCTACCAAATAAAGTATTTTGGAGATAAAAAAAAGATACTCATATGCTAAATGGATTAATCAATAATGGTAACAACAAATTGAGTTGATAAATGGAAATAGAAATAATGAATGGAGACAACATAGACAAAAAATGGAGAGAAATTGATGAAATTATAAATGGAAACAAAAATAATGAATAAGGGAATTTGAATAATGAAAAAAAAATATTTTGTGTTAAAATTAAAACAAGTTGTGTATTGTAATAATTTTAAACCTAATCTCGTATAAAATAATGTAGCGTTGGATGAAAAATGTTTAGAAAGTCTTTGTTTTTTTCTCTAGAATTTTTTATCTAGAATTAATGATCAGTTTCCTTTCTTTTAGGTTAAACTAATTGTAGCTGTATTGTTATTTTTTGAATTGGTAATTTTTTTCAGGTTGGCACAGAATCCACCAAACCATAACTATTGCCTTATTCATCAAAAGTTACAAGTAATTTTTTTACCCATTGTTTTTTATTAAAACTATTAATTTAGGTAGTATTTAAAAATAATTGATCGGTGAAGAATTTTTAGTTTTTGTACAGTGTACATATGTAGTAATGATAATATTGTACATATGTATTAATAATAATATTGTACATATGTAGTAATAATAATATTGTACATATGTAGTAATGATAATATTGTACATATGCAGTAATGATAATATTGTACATATGTAGTAATGATAATATTGTACATATGTAGTAAAGATAATATTGTACATATGTAGTAAAGATAATATTGTACATATGTAGTAATGATAATATTGTACATATGTAGTAATGATAATATTGTACATATGTAGTAATGATAATATTGTACATATGTAGTAATGATAATATTGTACATATGTAGTAATGATAATATTGTACATATGTAGTAAAGATAATATTGCATATATGTAGTAATGATAATATTGTACATATGTAGTAATGATAATATTGTACATATGTAGTAATGATAATATGGTGCATATGTAGTAATGATAATATTGTACATATGTAGTAATGATAATATTGTACATATGTAGTAATGATAATATTACATAAAGAGATTTCAAGAGCACAGATGTATGCATTAAGGAAATAGATAAAAAGTATCTTTAAGCACATAATGATCTATGGTAGATGAAACAAGGAGATAATAGCTCAACTGAGGTGTGATTATGGTAGTATTTATAGAATAAAGAAAAAAAGAAAACAATGATGAAAGCAATGGAGATTTAATTTTATACTGAATTATATAAGATAAAAAAATTTTAAATAAAATTTTAAAGTTTTCTCATTTATAGATATAAAGACTATTCCATATAATGCTTAACATTTATCTCAACATAAATCTGAAAATCTAACTAAAAAAATCCATCTGAGAATTTAACTACAAAAATCTGTCTAAGAATCTAATTAAAAATCTGTTTGAGAAATTAACTAAAAAAAATCTGTCTAAAAATCCAACTAAAAGTCTATCTGATCAATTGGGATCTTTGGAGAGTCTTCAACGATGGTGGACGTGTTTTTATAACGGAAAGATAAAGGAGAAAAAAGGAGGAAAAAAAAAAGAAAAAAGAAATTTAAACAAAAATTTTAATAACTAAACAACAAATCTAATCAGTAAATAAAGTAAGAAATTTTAAATAGAAAGAAATAAAAATTTACGAAAAAAGAAATAATAATAATTAAGTGCATATAAAATTAAAAAAAAATGACGAAAAAATCCAAATAAAAAGGAGAAGGAGAGTTTACGTCATATCAACTTTAAAAAGAATAGACAAAAAAAATTCGAATTTTTAATCACCTAAATTTAACTAAAAGAAAAGATAAAAAGAAAAAAGAATAGAAAAAGATAAGAAAAAGAAAAACAGAAACCGAAAAAAAGCGGAAGAGAAGAAAGAAAAGATCAAGTATTAGAAGATATTTTTGTAGCTAGTCTTTGTTGTAATTATTTTTTCATTTTGTTTTAATTATTATTTGTATTAGATACTTATTTTATATTAGATTATTATTTATTCCTTTTTACTATTTCATAATATATACTTATATCATTCTTTAACAACTTAATTATCAGTTTATTTATTTAGTTACATTATTTTATATATTATATAGTTAAATTATTACTCTATTATTAATTTACATTTTTGTTAAACTTTATTAAATTTTTTTATTTATTTAAATCATATAATTTTTGTTTATTTAAGTCATATAATTTAATTAAATCATATAATTTTAATTAAAATTTTGTTTGATCATTGTGTTATTTTTAATAATGTTGTTAATAATACTTATTATAACTGTTTATTATAAGTTAATTTGCTATTCTTTCTAATAATCATACTTACTGTTATTGTTTGCTTTTTATGATTATTATTACCATAGCTACTACTTTTACTTCCTAATAATTTTCAATTATTTTTATAAATTTTAAGTCAAAGAAAACTATTCAAAGTTAAAGTTGATGAATAAATTCTTAAGGCTTTCATTTATGTGAAAGAGTATTACTATCTAAATGAATCTAAAACAATATTTATATGTTTTATTATGTTTAAGTACTTCGTTGTTGTATTATGTTTAAGTACTTTATTGTTGTATTATGTTTAAGTACTTCGTTGTTGTATTATGTTTAAGTACTTCATTGTTGTATTATGTTTAAGTACTTCGTTGTTTTATTATGTTTAAGTACTTCATTGTTGTATTATGTTTAAATACTTCGTTGTTGTATTATGTTTAAGTACTTTGTTGTTGTATTATGTTTAAGTATTTTGTTGTTGTATTATGTTTATGTACTTCTTTGTTGTATTATGCTAAGTACTTTGTTGTTGTACTATGTTTATTTTCTTGATTTTCTTGTTTAGATGTTAAATTGTTGCATTTTGAAACATCAACAGAGAATGTGCTTAGACGAAACCTTGAATAAATCAAATGATCTTATTTCACAAAATAAAAATGAGGTTCAGCATAACACCCCTCAACACAGCACTTCTCAATACAACACCCCTCAAAAGCGTTCTGTAAGTTACAAAGAATTTTCTCAAAATAGTTTATCAATGGATAATTCTGTAAACCTTACTCCCCATGAATTTTGTCACAATGCTTTGAATGAGGTTGAACCTGGAAGTAGCGTGTCCCCAGCAACACAACATTTTAAATCTGACACATCTGAATCGCATGAAAGTGATTCAGATGATGAGTTTTTTGAAGTAGAAGAAAGTTTTGCTAAAGTATCAACTGTCTCAATAAATGATGTTGAAAACTTTCAGTTTCTCAAACGTGAAGGAGTGTTAAAAGAAACAAGTATGAAGCTTCTTGAAACAAATGAAGTTCTTTGTATACCTATTACTCAGGTATGTTTCAAATAACTTTAAATCATTCTTTATCTCTATACTAATTAATTATTGCCATTCAAATCTATATCTAAATCTAAATCTATAGCACTGTTGCATTATTGAATGTTTTATGAATATAGTTTATACTTTATGTCTTAGTTGATGTAGTTATACCAATAGTTGTATACTATTATAATACTATACTATTTAAAAGTTTATTGTGTAAACATTATATATATATATATATATATATATATATATATATATATATATATATATATATATATATAACCCTTGAAATTAGGGTCCGCATTTGGCAATGCGACCAAACTGCCGACCTGAAAGTGTTTAAGGTCAGGAAAAAATTCCCGACCTTGTTTCTATGTTTTATGGTAAGACCTTTGTATCAATTAATTTTTGCTGACCTGATACCGACCAAAAGATTGAGGTCTGCAATTTATTGCCGACCTCATTTTTCCTAATTCTAAGGGTTGTATATATATATATATATATATATATATATATATATATATATATATATATATATATATATATATATATATATATATATATATATATATATATATATATATATATATATATAGAGAGAGAGAGAGAGGCTTGGACAGGAATGGTGTGCGATCGAGCGCTATTGCTGACCACACAAATTATTTTATTTCTTGACAACTTGACCACAATTGTATATATGTTTTGATGATTTAAACATTTCATGTTTGCACTGAATGTAGAAACGCTAAGCTAAACTTAAACTAGGAAAAAAGTTTAAAAAAAAATTAACGAAAAAAAATTCCTAAAGAAAAAAGAAACAAAAAAAATTTTTAACGAAAAAGAAATTATATAAGCACTATAATAAAAATAAAAACTGAAACTTGAAACAAAACTTTTTTTTACATTTTTTAATCGCCTTTTGAAATAAATCTTTTTAAACTCTTTATTAAAGTTACGCAAAACGCTTTTAAATTAACAAGTTACCACTAACGCTTGTTTAATAAATGAGCAATTTTATATCCAATTTATTAAAAAGTGTTGTATTTAATATTTTTAAATTGTATAAACATTTATTTTTTCAAAAAAGTTGCAAAAAAAAAATTTTTTTTAAATAATGTTGTCTTTTTAAAATAGTATTTTTTTAATAACTTCATGCTCTGATTAATAAGTATAGTTAAAAAAAAAAAAAAAAAAAAAAGGTTTTTAACTCTTTTTATTGTAAAAATTCATTCCTATCGTAATTGGAAAAAAAAAAATGTTAGTTTAAAAGATTTTAAAAAATCGTAAGTTATAAAAATTAATCGTATGAACATTACAAAATGATTCAAAACTTTTCCATTAATCAACAAAATACATACTTATATAAGTAAATAAAGTTATTTTATTTTCTTGCATAATTCACATAAAATGTGTAAAAGCTAGTATTCGCAAAGCTTTTGAACTTATTCATAAATTAAAGTAACTTAAAAAAAATCTTTCTAAAAATAATGCTTTGAAAGATTTTTAGGAAGACATGGGAAACTAGTTTCAAACGTTTAAATTTATCATGCCTACACAAAAAATAATTTATAAAAACATTTTTTATTAATTTACACACACGTTTATGTTAACAATCATTAAAAATATTAATATGGTTTTATTTTAAAGCCTTTTTCGCGATTAAAAGATATTCATAATGTAATAACACTTTTTATTGCGTTTAAATTGTAAAAACATCAAAATAACGGTGGTCAAGTTGTAAAGAAAAAAAAACTACTAGCGTGGTCAGTTACAGAGTGCGATCGCACACCATTCCTGTCCAAGCCTGTATATATATGTATATACAATGCTGTTCATAGAAGTTAGCACAATGGTGATTTTTAATAAAATAATAATATAGTTCTCTTTTAGTCGGGTACTTTGAGGCGCTTAAATATTTTATCACCACCTTCGAAATGCCTTGCGCCAGGCTTGTATATATATATATATATATATATATATATATATATATATATATATATATATATATATATATATATATATATATATATCTTATTTATCACTGTGTGTTACATTATTTCAAGAAATAACTATATGATAACTAAGCATTCTGCAAACTATTCAAACCAAAAAATCTACCATAAAACTGTTTGATAACCTATCGTACAAGATTTACCATAATCTAACCATAGTTAGTGAGTTATGTATGTTGGGAGTTGTATAGAAATCATTAGTACAGCTTTAAATATGTATTCATTTCAAAGTCTTTGTGTTCCCATTTACAACAAGTATTTCTTTACTTTTACAACAAGTATTTCTTTACTTTTACAACATTTCTTTACATTACTGTGTAACAATTTTTCTTTACATTACTGTTACTGTTACTTACCCTCTACAAAAGTTATTTAAAGGTAATTAGTTATTTATCTAAAAACATATTTGCTTTGGTAATTCTTCAACACTAAAATTTCCAAAAATATTTTCAATCAAATTTATATCTATCAAAACTGTAGAATATGTGTTCAGTTCACAAGAGAAAATATATGTTGTATTCGCGAGAGAATAAGACAAATTGGTCTTTCATTTTCTTTGTTTTTATCATATATTCTTGCAAATTTAATTTCTCTTTTTGATTTTGCAAATTTTAATATTTTATATATAAAAAAAAAAAATTTCAATAAATTAGGAGAGTTCGCCTTTAACGGAAGATATGTTAAATGAACAGCAGTTGTTGATGGAAAAACTTGGTACCTCTGCTGAAGCATCAAAGTCTAGAGTACGTATGCAATGTGCATCTTTGCTAGCTGATATGGAAGCATTTAAGGTAATTTTTTTTTAACTTAATTTTGATTTTTTAAATTTATCTTTTATTTGAAAGTAATCTGATTTTAGGCTGCTAACCCAGGTTGTATTTTACCAGACTTTGTTCGCTGGCATTCTCCAAATGACTGGCTTTTGGGACCTGAAACAGATGAGGAAAGAGAAGAACTAAAGAAAATGACAAAAGGTTTTTATTTCTAATTTTTATTTTTATTTATTTTTAGAGTTAATTGAATTTTATTGTATATTTTATTTTAACTAGAAAGAAAAGATGATAGCAAAGATGTAAGTTTCATGTTTATTTTGTATCATTTTTATTGCTTATTTTTTATTGTTACAGATTATACTTAAATTAGACACTAGAGATTGTTACATTTATTTTTACAGATTATACTCAAATTAGATACTAGAGATTCAGGATTATTGAGAATGAGCAAGAACTTTTTCTTCTATATTTTTTTTTCTGAAAATTAAATTAAGATTGAATAATTGCATTAAAGATTCTTTCAATTCTTGTTTCAATTCTCATTAAATTTATCATTATTAATTATTTAAGATAAAAATATAATCCAAAATTGCATAAACTCCAAAATTGCAGAAACATGAAGTTGTGCATCATTTAACTTTTAATTACTTTCAATAGAATATTTTTACTCTGACTGCGTTTTTAGAGCTGGTAATCGTAGTAATCGGAGGAGCTGATGCTAGGAATCGAAGGAGCTGTTGCTAGGTATCTGATTCTAGTGCTAGAAATGAAATTCTAAGATCCTAGGATTTTATACAAAATTAAACAGATTAAAAAACTCTTTTTTTTTTTAATTTTTAAATAAATTATATGAGCTTTTTCAAAAGGGTTTGAATAAATTTAATTAGGAATTCTGTAATCCTGTAAGAGTTTTGCCTCAAGCTGAACATCATCTACAATACCAATAATTACAAATAACTCTGCTCAGTGATATCATTTATTCCTTAAATTTGCCACTCTCAATATCTTTACTGAGAAAGGTTGAGAAACTCAAAAAATATAGTAATTAGTAAAACAATAGTAGTAATTGAGCCTCCTCAACAGTGGTATTCTCCTTAGTGGTAGTCTCCTTAGTGGTAGTCTCCTTAGTGGTAGTCTCCTTAGTGGTAGTCTCCTTAGTGGTAGTCTCCTTAGTGGTAGTCTCCTTAGTGGTAGTCTCCTTAGTGGTAGTCTCCTTAGTGGTAGTCTCCTTAGTGGTAGTCTCCTTGGTCTTGAGAAGTAAAAATTGAAGAAAAAAAAAATTATATTCTAGTACTATATGGACCAGCTGCCATGTCTAATTAAGCCTTAGCAATAACAAATTCACTTCACTGTAGCTTATGATCCCTGTAGTTACACTGACTTTAATTAATGTAGACTAACTATTCTTATTATATTGAAATTATATAATTTTTCAAAATGATTAATCCAACTTCCTTTTACTTTTACTTGAATTTCTTCATTTTCATTTCTTCATCTAGTTGTTTAATACATCTAGTCTTCTTTAACAGAATACATGTTTTGCCTCATTAAAATAAACTCAAACTAATATTAAAACAATGTTCTAATATTTTTTTAAATTTATTTTCATTTCAGTGGTCAAATAAAGGTCATTTGAGTTTGCGCATGCGTGTTCCTGGTAACACTTGGGAAGAGGTATGGAACACTGCAAAAGCAGTTCCTGCCAGAAAACAAAAAAGGTTGTTTGATGATACAAAAGAAGCAGAAAAGGTTCAGATTTTTTTTATTCACTTTTTTTTTTTTAACTATATACACATTGGAGTGAACATAAATCAACAGATTTATCTTGTAATGTAAGTATACTCTCAGTGGAGTTTTCATACATCAACTTTTTTTATCAATTTATCTTTGTTTGTATATTTTTTCACTATTTTCAGGTTCTTCACTTCCTTACAAACCTTACACTTCCTGAAATTCTTCTTTACTTGTTTCCAGTGTTTGTTCAAGCAAGTCTTACCAGGATCTGCAAAGAAGGTTTAATTAAGATTGTTTAAAAAAAATTACTAAGTGCTAGAAAGTGTAACTTATTACTAAATAGTATTAAACTAGTTTTATTTTAGAAGACAGTATTAATTTACACTTGTTTTATTTTAGAAGACAGTATTAATTTACACTTGTTTTATTTTAGAAGACAGTATTAATTTGCACTTGGAAATTGAAAGTTTATTAAAAAAGTCATCTAAGTTACAAGTTGCATCCATCGAAAACTTAAAATTGATGGAGGTAATTTTTGTGAAAATATTGTTATTGTAAAAATTTTATTATTATTTTTTTATTTACTTTTTGGTAATGTAATAATGTTTTTGTTTTTCATTATTTGTTTATGGTTTTATTCTAATTGTTTTATTAAGTTATTATCTGATATTTGAATTGAATAAGTCATAATCAGATGTTTATTTCAAAAGTTTTACAATAATTAAATGTATTAAAAGTATTTTTATTCCCAAGAGATTTAAAGTTTTTTTAAATTTAAAGGATTTTTAGATAAGATTGCTTTTTACTCTCTTATGACTCTCAAATTCTAAGTAATAATCATATTCTAATTTTTTTTAGCGAGATCTATTTGTTTAAAATCTTGATTTATTTTTAACTTAAATGTTAAAATTTTTAAATTATTTTTGTATTTGTATGTTTGTATATATGTGTATTAAATGTATTGATATCCTTTGTTTGTGTATATATACACTCTTAATTAAAAGGTGTTAAATTACACTAAAAAGGTGTGCAGCATGAAAAACACCACGGTGACGGTGATGGTGTTAAATTACACCGTTTTGGTGTATTTCATGCTGCACACCTTTTAAGTGTTAATTCACATCATTTTAGTGTTTTTTTAGACTGTTTTGATTATTTCAAGCTAGTTTCAAACAAACAAACAAAAACATCTAAAAATTAACATACACACATTTAATTGTAAAGTACATAAAATATGGTCCTCTTTATGGTTCATTTAAAGTTGATGATTTCAATAGTTGACTTGCCTTTATTGATAAAAGATGATTTTTTTTAATATAGACTGCAAACATTTCCCAAAATGATAGGATACTCTAGGTGAAATGTATTAAAAAAAACACATAGTTTAGCATGTATAATATCAACAACCTTTCTTGGGGAGCAACCACAATAACAACAAGATATTTGTCTCCTTCATAGTAGTCTACAAGCTATGTGTCAGTGACTTCTGGGTTTTGCTTAATAACAGTTAAGCGAGGATTTAAATAATACACAATAGCTGTTAAAAGGATGTCATCATCGTAATCCTAAAATAAACAAACAAAAAAAACATGATTTTTTTTATCCTTATTATTGATATAGGAAAGTCCAACTAAACAATTTTTTACTAAGCTGAAAAAAAACTATATATATATATATATATATATATATATATATATATATATATATATATATATATATATATATATATATATATATATATATATATACACATACACATACACAAACACGCACACATATATATAAGGTAAATGATTGATAAAATGGCCATAACTATTTAATGGCTACATTTATTAATTTATTAAAATGAACTCTTTCCAGACAAAACTTTAAATTAGAAAGTTAATTTATTCTCACCTTTCTCATTTCTATAACTTTATTTAGCATAACCGGATTTATAAATGACAAAAGGATATAATTTTTAAAGTTGCATCTTTTTTCAATTTCCTATTTTGATATGGAAAATTTTTTTCTTTAAACATTCATACAATATTTTAACACTTACCACAAATACTGTATGAATTTTTAAGCTCTTATTTTAAAGCCCTAAAGCATTAAGTCACTTAACATATCAGGCTTACTTATGGATTTATATTTTTAAAATATTATTATTATTTTTTTAAACTATTGTGGTGGAAAAAAACACTTTGGCTGTATGAACTAGAATCTGTCTCTCCCATGCATCTGCAATATTATTTACATTTTGTAATTGTCTGTTTGAGAAGATATTGTATTTAGAAGACATGATCTACGAATTCCATTGTTGTTAGAAATGTAAAGACTGTAATTTAAAAAATTAATTTGATTCGTTTTAAACAAAAATATACATTTTTTAAAGCCAAAAAATACATTTTTTAAACCCAAAAAAAAAGTGAGATATACCATTGAATTTTAGCCCTCAAGTTTGTAAAAACAAATATAAAATTATACTGAGCATATTCTACAGTTCATCAACAATAAAAAAGTGAAATCATTTTATTGTAGTTAAAATGTTTTCACTACAATAAAAAATAGTTAAAATGTTATCGAAACTTTTCTGGTTGAAAAAGCGACTTAATAGTTGTTTTACTAAAAGCATTTAATAGATGGCTTATACTATATACATACATACATACATACATACATACATACATACATACATACATACATACATACATACATACATACATACATACATACATACATACATACATACATATATTCTGATGTCAAATCCAGTTAATTTGTTCAACGATGTTTTCTTTATGTGTTCCTGTACCAAAAAAAACACAGTGCTTAATACTTTAAGAAATATGTTGTATCTATCTTTCACTGATTAGGATAAATTAACACTTTGTGATTTTTGTTGATCTTTAGGCTTTTTTCCAGTCACACAAAAACTTTACATTTTTTGCCTCATTTTTTTATCAAATGATGTGATTTTTTTTTTCAAAATACTGTTACTAGAGCCTTGGATCAAGCAAATCCAAATCCAAAATGATTTCCTTGAAAGATTGAGTAAAGGACTTTGTTGTAAACTAAAGTAGATCAAAATCTATCAATGTGATTCGAAAATATATATACACATTTTTTCTATGATTATTTTAGGTGCTCCAAGAAGACCTAATGGTCATATCACAGAGTACTGCAGAAAAGCATTTAACTTGGAAGTTTACGCTTCTTTCATGTCGAAAAGAAGCCTAGAGTAGGCATCAAACCACAGATCAGTGAAGGATCCAGTATTTTAGTGTTTGAGATAGCTAACAGACATTGCGCAAACTCGAGACATTTGTATGGTTATAATTAGGTCAAATATTGGTGCTTTGCAAAATATTGCGATGATTGAATACTGGAAACTTAAAAAGCCCTAAAATTTCATCACCCCTGCCCCAAACGTGAGAGCAACAAGTTGGTAAATAATTTTTTTGAACTTCTTAACTTTGTTTATATTCATTGATAAATTTTAAGCTTCATAGTAATTTCTCTCAGAGTTCATAAATTATGACCATATAAAGTTTGAACCTCCCTCAATTTGAGGGGGTTGCAAATTTTATATAGTCATAATTTTTGATCGCTTAGAGATCGTAAAACAATGCTTAAAATTATTAGATAAATATAAATTTAGTTAAGAAAAGGAAAAAAATTATTTTACCAACCTGTTGCTCTCACGTTTGGGGTAGGGGGAATAAACTTTAGGGCTCATTATTTGATAAAGGTATAGACATACAAATGTATGGATTTGTTATCTCAAACACAAAAAAATGATGGATCCGTCACTGCCACAGATCTCTTGTTTCTGAAGCAAATTTGCTTCAGAATTCAATGTTTAAATGTCGCAAATGTGCAATAAATTATTTATATATAAATTTTAAGCTTAAGACAAATATCTCAAGAAAATATGTAAAAAAATAATTTTTAAATGTACTTTTAAAGTTCAGAGTTTGCAGTTAGATATTGGATCAAAATTCAATTTATTAGAACCATTCAATAACGAGAAAGCGAGAAAGCAGTCACCGTAGCTAGCTCCTTGAATCTACTCTTCTTCTTTTTTTAATGATTTTTTACAAGAACTCTTTATTTGAAGTAGCTTCTGAAGCTTCTCCAAGCTCATTACACACTCTACATTATCTTGAAAAAATTTTACTGTAAGCACAGCAAAATTGAATTTTTTGTTACAAAATATTTTTCTTAAAACAAAAATTACGTTTCTTGTTTTAAGAAGTAAATATTCTACCCTGCAACTTATTTTTAAAAACAAGAAATATATTTCTTGTTTTGAGAAATAAGTTTCTTAAACTATGCTTAACAGATTTAAAATTTTACTGTGATTTCTGATGAGAAGTTAACAATTTTGAAAGATTTAAAAGTTTTGAAATTCATTGTACCCAAAAAGTCTGAGAGAGTCTCATCCGTAGGTATTTTTTCAAACTATGAATAACTAACTTAGAATATCGAAAATTAACCAGTAGCCTGGTGAAATATACAACTCAAGACCTAGTGGCTAGTCTTCTATCAACAAAAACTGCTTTCAGAAAGATTTCAGCTTTGATTCTATCTGTTTTTACACCTTTTTGGACCTCCCTTTGTTTTTGAATACAGAACTTTTTATCATTTTCATATTGTGATCTCGGTCAAAAGATGCTAATGCCAGCACCAAACACCTCTAAGGTTTTACCATGATTTGAATTTCACCTCTGCAACAGGCTCAATATACATCTAAATAATTAATATTAAAAGTGTAAATTAGAAATAATGCAATGTAGATAAAATAAGGTTTAAAAGTCAGAACAGTCAAGAATTGTTTAGTCAAGTAAAGTTAAAGTTCTCGTACTTCTGTACCCAAATGATCTTAATGAAGGCGAGTTTATTAATGAGTTCTGCCACTTTTCTTCTGTTCGACCCAATCTACTGACACATGACCGGCCCTTAGATCTTCTGAATAGCATTTATGCAAAGGGATTTGAAGAAAATTTTCCCCAGATATACATCTGTCTTTGTACCTATTTACTTTGCCATTATCTGTGGCTGAAGGCAAAAGATTTTTTAACAAGTATGCTCTTGTCAATTACTACCTAAGAGCTACTATAGGATATATAGAAAAGGATTGTCTTAACAACTGTCTTATCCTTTCAATCAAAACAGATCTTGCAAAGAAAGTTAATTGCAATGTTGTAACTTCCATCTTTGCTGTTAGAAAAGCTGGTAATTTTTTGGTATAACAGCATAAAAATTTATTAGCAAATCCAGAAATGGATTTGCTAATAAATTTTTTTCTTTGTTGCATTTAATGGTTTAATTTGTGAACTGTCTTAAATAAAGAATTTTTTAAAATATATTCTCAACACTAGAAATAACAGCTTTTTTTTTCTTATTATTTTTATTTTGGTGGTGGTTAGGAAGGGGATATATATATATATATATATATATATATATATATATATATATATATATATATATATATATATATATATATATATATATATATATATTATATATATATATATATATATATATATATTTAATTTTCGGAACTTAATTATTATTTACTTTATTTTTATTATTATTATTAATTATGATGTGTTGTATCAGGTTTAACAGTTATACTTTTGGAAATATTAGATGTAAATAATCATTATTTACATCTAATATTCCAAAAAGTAAAATTGTTTAACCTGACACAATACAGTATAATGTTAATAAACAATATAGTAATTTGAATAAACAATATTGTACAATATAGTAACTGTTTATAAATGTCCCGCGCGATTGTATATATATACAGTTATTACTAAAGTGAAAATATATTGATTTGATTTGATTTGATCCAATAATAAACAATATAGTACAATTATAATTTTCATAGGTTAAAAACAGTTTTTGCACTGTTGCTACTTAAAAACAGTTTTTGCACTGTTGCTACTTAAAAACAGTTTTTGCACTGTTGCTACTTAAAAACAGTTTTTGCACTGTTGCTACTTAAAAACAGTTTTTGCACTGTTGCTACTTAAAAACAGTTTTTGCACTGTTGCTACTTAAAAACAGTTTTTGCACTGTTGCTACTTAAAAACAGTGTTGAGATTCACAACAGTTATTTAAGTAAAAAGTTTAATTTTACACTATTTTGGTGTAAAATAGTGTAAGGAATTGTCCATAAATTACGTCACGCTATAAAGGGGGAGAGGTGGTGTTGGTTTTGTGATGACTCATACAAAACTTGCTTCTTAAGTGTTACAATTTTGTAACGAGGAGGGGGAGGTCAAAAATGGTCAAAAATTAAGTAACGTAATTTACGAACGACCCCTAAATCCATTTTACACCTTTTTACAAATTTATAATTTCAGTTTTATATCGTTTTACAAAACAGTTTCTTTCATAAAACAGTGAAAGCTTTAACGGTTACATGGTGTAAAATTGTGTAACCGATATGAAAAACTGTTTTGTAAAACAGAGTAAAACTGAAATTATAATTTTGTAAAAAGGTGTAAAACATTTTACATCGTTCACACCAAAATGGTGTAAATTTAAATATTTGCTTAAATAAATTTCAAAAGTTAGGTAACATCAAAACGATGTAATTTTACACCTTTTAATTAAGAGTGTACACTCTGAAGGGTAATTTTTAATAAAACTGTATAAAAAATAATTACACCTTTTTCAATTTACTACACCGTTTCGAAAAGGTGTAAAAATTGAGTATTGTTTTACACTGTTTTTATTAAAAGGTGTAAAAGAAAAAAACATCACAATATTCAATTATTACACCTTTTTAAAATGGTGTATGGATTTTAAAGAGGTGTTATTTTACATTGTTTTATTAAAAATTAACCTTCAGAGTGTATAATTACACCAAAAACAGTGTAAATTTAAACTTTTTTCTTGAATAAGTTTCAAAAAACAAAGTTTGAGGTTTTATTAACACCAAAACGTTGTTATTTTACACCTTTTAAATAAGAGTGTATATATATGTTTATTAGATGTATTGATATCCTATGTGTGTGTATATGTGTATTAGATGTATTGATATCCTCTCTGTGTGTATATATATAAAGCAAATGACCTGCATCACTTTTCTTTAATAAGATACTCGGCTTTAAATGTTATTTTATCCTCATTCCATTGATTTTTATTTGTTATCAAAATGATCCGTGTATTGATCTTGTTAATAATACTCAGTAATATTGAGCTTATTACACTTTATTTAATCAATGAATGCTTTGAATCAATTAATCTTTTCTTCTTAAATTTTACTATTTGTAGATTTCAAACAAATTACACAGCATGAAAAATAAAGTATATTAGTAGACAATAAAAAAATGCTAAAAAGTTGTACTTTTTAATTTTTTTTTTGAAAATGTATTTGCTGTAATGTTTTAAAACAAACTTATACATTATAAAGAGAATAATGTTATTAAATGATAAAACATACAAAATACAGATATAAGGTATAGAAAATACTGTGTATTTCCCTGCATGCTTTGAACTGCTGACTGTTTTTTTGTTTGGTTTTTTTTGTTTATGTCAGTTCACCTCTCTAAGGTGGAGAAAGCCACTATAGTCAAGGAGACTGAAGCATAATTGTTTTGTAGTGCAGAAACAGATATTTAGTTATGTTGGTTTGTTTGTTAGAACTTATGTAGGTTTGTTTATTAGAACTTATGTAGGTTTGTTTGTTAGAACTTGTGTAGGTTTGTTTGTTAGAACTTATGTAGGTTTGTTTATTAGAACTTATGGAACTTATGCAGGTTTGTTTATTAGAACTTATGGAACTTATGTAGGTTTGTTTATTAGAACTTATGGAACTTATGTTTAAATTTAGTTAAGTAGGTTTGTTTATTAGGACTTATGGTTAAATTTGAAAAGATGAAATTTAAACTAATGACATGTTCATAACATAATGTCATTAGTTAAGTGCATTGTAAAAAAAATTTTAAAACAAAAGATAATTTTAAACTTTTTCATAAATTACTTTTTAGTAAAAATTGTTCTTGCTTTTGTGTACAACCAGACACAGTTGTTTTTAGTTTTATGGGAAATCTTTATAATGAGGGAAAGCTTATGTTTAGATTTTATGTTTAGAGGAGATATTTCGATTGGGAGAATGGTTTCAAATTAAGGATGATTAACATTGTTTGATTGAATTTGTTTTCATATAGTTTTAATTGATGCCCTAACTTAATGTAAAGAAGTATATCTTTTGAGGAGGTTGTTTCAAGAGTTTGCTCGTATCAACTTATCAAAAAAGTATTTACAGAGGGTTTTCAACTTTTTAAAACAATCAACCTTTTTTTATTCTATATTAAATATTATTAGTATTTTAAATGTATACTCAATTATAGTTGTATAATTAAATCTTACTTTTAGGATATAGTTAATCACATTCATTATGTTGAAATGACAGTTGGAAGAGCTAAGTCATTGCGAATGAAACTCTTTTCTGAAGATGTTAAAGCTGATTCAATGGAAAGTTTTTTAAAGAAACTTCTAAACAAAGATGAAGTTTTGATTTTAGGCGGTCGCCACTCCCAAATTGGGGGTATTGTTACTAAGCTACTTCAACATCAAAAGGTTATTTTATCTAAAATGCATCATAATATTTTTGGATTTGAATAATGTTACATGTTATTTTATATTTTGATTTGAATTTTTCTTTTACAAAACTTAGGAAGAAAATGATTCAATGTTTTCGTCTTCAAAAGAAACGGTATTTTTATCTCTATTATGGTTGTTAAATCGTAAAGTTATTTTTCTCATAGTTGTTGCGTTATTTGTTTTTTTTTTTTAAAAAAAAGCCTGTTTATGTATATTGAACTCGGTTAGCTGAAATGATTTTTCCATGTGGCATGTAATAAATCAATTTAAACTCTTTCTTCAGTAGATTATAAAATTAATATAAAATTTATCATGATTATCAATTATTGGTTTTTTGTAATATGGAACATTAGCAATCGTCATCATCATTAGCAATCATCATCATTAGAAATCATCGTCATTAGCAATCATCGTCATTAGCAATTATCGTAATTAGCAATCATCATCATTATCAATAATCATAAGCAATCATCATCATTAGCAATTATCATTATTAATCATCGTCATTAGCAATCATCGTCATTAATAATCATCGTCATTAGCAATCATCGTCATTAGCAATCATCATCATAAGCAATCATCATCATTAGCAATCATCATGCAGTTTGTTTATCTGTAGCTATTGCTTTTATATTTGTTGACTAGTTTTTTTTCCTTGATTCTATCGGCGTGGTTTCATATTTGCTAATATAAGCTACAGAAATGAACAGCTGATACAAGCTGCAGAAAACATTGATTTGATTAATGATAGATGCATATTATTTTTAAAGTTGTAAAAGTAAGGATTTATTTTTATACTGATAAGGAAACTATTTTTAAGCTTCAATGTTTAATGTGTCACAATGTGATGTATGTAAATTAATAGAAATTTCTCATGACCATATAACCGCAACATATTTACACATATCACCAAGGTTAGCCAACTGGACTAATTTGTATAAACAGGCTTTAAAGGTCATTAATAATGTCATTTTTAAATCGTATATCATTTCGTTGCTTTATATATTTTAAATTTTATTTAGAATAATCGACCACAGACGAACCTTTCGTCTACGCATAAAGATATTCCTTATCCTTTCGGCAGGGAGTATATATTTAGAACAACTGTACCTAGACCGAGTCGTACATCTAGATTGTGCCCACAAAGAATGTACACCGCGATTACGCCTGATGACTTTCGTATGGCTGGCTGTTTTACACAAGACACAAACTTTTTATAAACGTTTAATATACATTTGGGTACGCATTGAAACAACTCGTTATCCAATCTCACCTATCCAAGCTGTTAAATTTATCGAATGTTGAGTTTGTTAAATTGATAAGCATAAATAAAATAAAATAATAAAATTTTTTAAAAACATTTTTATAGTATACATAAATTATATAAATAACGTATTATATATAAATTGTCATTTTAAAAAGGTGTATAAAACAACAATAAAACAATACTGCAAGGTTGTTTTGTCAATATAAAACAACTTCGCCATATTGTATTATTGCTGTTTTTAACATTAAAAATATAAAACGCGTTTAAAATAAAACGTGTTTTATTCTCAGTAGGTACAGGATATAAGTTACATTTATATTGATAGTGCGTAAATAAGTAAATAAAACTTTTGAGTAAAATATTTGATTATTAGCATATATAATCTATGGCCGCCAGACCTACGTTATTTTATAAAGGCTGAAAAAAGTGTTCACTCCTCACACAAGTAGGAACAATGGTCGACTATGTACTTTATAAAGTTGCTTTGACTGGTAACAGGTACCAAAGGTGTTTAAAGTACCGGCTAAACTACGTCAAATTACAAAACGTAATTTTGTTACAGTTTTTTTTTTTTGTAGTAATAATAGAAATCATGCCATCCATTGCCAGGATATCATGGTGCCAACTTCTTGCGAGATACCCTTAAACTTCAAAATATTGTATCTGTACTTACGTTACTGTTTAAAAATTGAAATTTATACAGGTTACTTGGGTAACTATTAGAAAATGTTTCCAGACACTTTATAGAGTCCTAACCCGTAGCTAGACAAGTATATATGTAAGCAATATTGTTAGTTTAATATCTAAAAAAGTTAGAAAAAAAACTTTGGTTACGTAATAAGTGCGCCAAAAAAGTACTGGTTTCTATTAACAGTTAAAATCTGAGATAAAAATAAAGATATGAAAGTAATGAAAATAAAGTTAAAAGATGGTTTTAATAGCCAATTTATTATTTATAAATATTATTTTATATCATAATGTTATAAAATTATTTAAATATAATTGAAGTTAATATATGATTTAAACTAATATAAAATTAATAAAAAAATTAAAATAATTAATATTTTTAATAAATAACTTTTAAATAGTTGAAAAGTTTTAACTAAGGTTTTCGTACTAACGTATTTAGATATAAAATTAACAACATTGTTAACATATACAGAATCCGTATATTTATTTAGGAAAAATAAATGTACAGTAATTACTGCATATTTTGTTATTGTAATGTGTTGGTGTGGATAATAGTGCATTATTTCTATTTGTATATACTTCCAGACACAAAACAAACTCTAAACATTTATATGCTTATACTTATGTAAAATAACAATGCTTTGCAAAAAGTTGCAATGATTGGCCACAACTTCCCTAAACGAGAGCAACAAGTTGATAAAATATTTTTTTTCACTATTTTAAACTAAAGTTATATTCATTGATAAGTTTCATAGTGTAATCTCTCAGCGTTCAAAAATTATGACCATATAAATTTTATATCGCCCTAAATTTGAGGTGCTGCAAATTTTATATGGTCATAACTTTTGAATGTTAAAAGATTATTGCACAAAATTAAAATGATGAATATAACTTTATTTGAGAATAGTAATAAAAATATTTTATCAATTTGTTGCTCTCACGTTTACGGCAGTTCAAAATATTAGTGCTTTTTTGTTCCTTGACTCCAATCATTGCAATTTTTTGTAAAACATCCTTATTTGACATAAGTATATAATGTTATATAATGTATATATATATATATATATATATATATATATATATATATATATATATATATATATATATATATATATATATATATATACACATTATATAACATTAAATTATTAGCGAATATTTGAATATTTTCTAGAATAATTATGCTAAATCCAAAACCTTTGTGAGTAAACAATTTTAAGGATCATTTCTTATGATACACTTAGATATTTGGCCACCCGAAATTTTTTCTTAAAAACACAGAGGTTTTTAAAAAATAAAAAAAGTATCCCAGACCACAAGGTAATATGAGCACTTTAAACTAGCTCAAAAAAATAACATTATTTAACTAAAAAAATACCAACTTGACAATTAGAACTAATTTATGGAATATAGGGTAAGGTTGCCGATATTGTACCGGCGCCTAAATTGTACTTTTGCTGTATCTAGTTATTTTTACAACCCAGAAAATATCTTTTGACTTAAATTTTATCTTTGCTATGTTGAACTAACGAATCAATTGTTTTTTCGTGAGATGAAACTAGATTCTGGGAGCAGTTACCTCGAGTTGATAAGATGCCAAAGTTTTCTTATTTTTGGGGTTCAATGTTTAGATTTGTTAAACTTTAAACATGTTAAATATGTCTTTTTTATCATATTTATTATAGTTCGATCCCCACCACGTCCCTTTTACTCAACTCGTTTCTCCGCGCAGCGGCCTTGTTCGTCAAGGTTCGTGTTTCGGAGTTATAGAGTTGAGAGAGGGTTATAACCACAAATAAATAGCCTCCTCGTCCGTAGTGGCCTTCTTGGCCTTGACGAGGTGAATTAAAAAAAAAAAATTTATGTGAAAGCACTAGTTATATGAATTCAAATTAAATTCCAACAAATTAAAATACATTAGCATTTGTTGTCTAATTTCGTTATAAACTCGAAGTGAGTTTAGTCGCGTAATTCGTACCTCACTTAAATTGTACTTAAATTGTACCAAGGCTTAAATTGTACCAAGGCTTAAATTGTACCAAGGCTTAAATTGCACCAAGGCTTAAATTGTACCAATCTTAATTTGTAACGAACGGCTACAGTCATTCTGGGTAACTTTGAATTTGCGGGTAACATTGAACTAAACGTGTAAATGTTTTAAAATTTTTTTTTCTTCGGTATTTTCTTTGCTTGTTGCTTTAACAAAGAATAATATGATGAATTATCTGTTTTTACAAAAGTTTGACCAAAGAAAATTAAATTTTATTTCTCAAAAATAATGTTTTCCTCCATTTCCAGTTACACAGTCGAATGTGGTGATAACATCGTGTATTTTCAATTTAGAATATTTGGTATTAAATTGTAATTATCTGAATAGATTTTTAAGTATTTTATTAAATTATTTTTCGAACTTTAATACAAACTCAAAATAATAGGATTTAACATGTTTTTTGCTACAAAAAGGATATTTATTTCCACTTAGCTAAAATATAACCAAATTCAGGGTAACTTGAGACAATCAATATTTTCCAAAAATTCTTTTTTTGCTGTCTGAGTAACATTGCAATAATACATAATAAATAATAGACATCCTTTTATTATAGTATTTTTATTATATAATGATATATGATATTATAAATATCAAAAATTATAATATCTATTACTAATAAATTAATTTTTGATATTTATCGCTATCTTGATAGATTTAATAATATATTTTATTAATAGCAAATATGCGATTAATTAAATAATTTTCATTAATAACATAAATCATCTTTATATTTTTAGCATTCATAAAATGCCAAGAAAATGTTCGACAACTCATCCTGGCACAAGAAAATATGGCACTAAATCTAATTACACCAATTCTACACTTCAAGAGGCTTTAGCCAAAATTAAATTAGAAAAAGCTTCTAAAATTTATAAAGTACCTAAAGCAACATTATTTAATAAGCTAAAAAGTAAACACTGTAAATCAGTAGGGCGCCCTATTGCCCTTAGCATTGATGAGGAACTTTGTTTTGGAAATCACTTACTTTATTTAAGTGACAAAGGTATACCAATTGGAATTAATGATTTTAAAAGTATTGTCAAAATCTATCTGGATGATAGTGGAAAAAATATACAACAGTTTAAAGATAACCGACCAGGTTGGGAGTGGTGTAAACTTTATCTTGACAGGCATCCATCATTAAAAGAAAAAGTATCTCATTGTATTTCAAGGAAACGTGCACAGATTAATTATTGTCAAATAAAATTATTTTTTCAAAATCTAGAGAAGGAATTAAATGGAGTAACGCCAGATAACATTTACAATATGGATGAAACAGGGTTTCATGATGACCTGGAAAAAAAAAACTTATTTTTTGTCGATCCTCTCGCCATCCAGAACTTATAAGAAACACAACAAAAACTTGTTACATTGTTGTTTTTTGTGGAAATGCCTCAGGAAAACTAATTCCACCATTTTTCATTGTTAAAGGAAAACACAGTTGGTCTGACTGGCTTTTCAACGCACCAGAAGGATCAAGAATGGCAACTTCTTGCAGTGGCTGGATGGAAATTCGAATATTTAAAGAGTGGCTGTTAAATCACTTTGTTCCAAATATTATAAATAAGGAAGGTAAAAAAATTCTGATTTGCGATAATTTAAGTGCTCATATATCTTTAAAAGCCTTAAATATATGTGAAAAGCATAATGTAACATTTATATGTTTAATACCCAATTCCACACACCTTTTACAACCTTTAGATGTTGGATATTTCTCGAGTTTAAAAGCTGATTGAAGGTCAGTTCTTAATCAATGGCGTAAAACATCCAGAGGAAGAAAGGTTAATAACCTGCCAAAAAATTAGTTTACGCAGCTCATTAAATCTACTCTTAATGTTGGTAAAGAAAATCTAGAACATAATCTCCAAGCAGGATTTAAGGCTACTGGCATATATTCATTTGTACCAGAACATGTTCTCTCCAAATTACCCAGTTTTACAAATATAGATATTCAACTCAATATTGGAGAATCGTTTAGGAATTATGTTGATGATATTCATCTTAATTATGAAGTAAGCAAAAAATTTAAGTTACCAATAACAGCAGGGAAAAGTGTATCAGCCACTGAGGTAGAAGCATACTATAAGGAAAGAGACAATAAAAAAAAAAGTCAAGATAATATTCGAGCAAAGAAAAGAGGAAGACCACTTGGATCAAATAATATGGTTATGAAAATAAACAAAAAACTTAATATTTTACAAATTTCAAGCATCGTAAATGTTAATCAAGTTATTGAAGACAATGAACAAGTTTTACCTGTATCTCAAAATGATGCAGTTTTTTCATTGGAGCAAATAAACAAGCACTATGTACATGTTTTCCTTGATCATAATTACTTTGTAAAAGAGTTAGT